CTGCTCCAGCCCAGGCTCCTTTCTCCACACGTCCTGCCAGGACCTGCTCCAGCCCATGCTCCTCTCTCCACATGTCCTGCCAGGACCCTGCTCCATCGTTGGCTCCTCCATGGGGTGCAGATGGATCTCTGCTTCCCTGTAGCCCCCCCGCTACTAAAACTGCCACACAGACCCAATACAGAGGGGAAACCTGGGATGTAAACAAGGGACAATATGCAAGGATGGGGTGAGAAGGGCTGCTGATTGTCCAGGGTTTTTAAACTCAGCATTCAAGGAGAGCGCTGGGCTGGAACCCAACAGGCAAACCCCTGCAGTGTTCCACAGCAGATCCCATAGCCACTTCTGGATTGACAGCACTGGGATTTTTGGTGAGTGTCTCCATTGAAGYAAAAAACTGCCCCTGCCCTCGCAGGCCACCCTCAGAGGACATTTCCCATCACATCCTACCTTGCCATTGCCCTGGATCCACGGATATGGCACGGGCCAAGCCCATGCTCTGAGGTCTGGGAACCGAGTGTCCGGGATGTTTGTGTCGCTGGCTGCAACCTTTGCTATCTTCAAGGAACTTTTGGGAGGAGGGGAAAGATCTTCAGCTCGGCAAGGCAGCACCAGAAGTGATTAGTCTTTGTAATTATTAACTCCCGAGGCTTGGCTGGCAGCAACAGAGGGTCCTTGGATTAGAAAGGTAGAAGTGCTTCYAGGAGCCAAGAAAAGCAGGAAGGATGAGAACTGATAGTGCTGACAGGAAGCTTTGAGAGGGGTTGTGCTGGAGATGCTGAATCCCAGCCACATGCAGAAGTGACTTGTCACAAAGGGAGAGGGGCRTGTGCTCCCCTCTTCTTCCCAGAAGAGAAGAAGGAAAGGAAAGGGGAAATAAAAGGACAAGGAAAGGAAATGGAAATGACAAAGAAAGGAAATGACGAGAAAGAAAAGGGGAAAGGAAWAGGGAAAGGAGGGAGGAGAAGAGAGGAGAAAGGAAAAAGACAAAAGAAAGCCAGACGGAATCTGGGAAGGGAAGGAAGAACAGGGATTATCTCTGAGCTTGGAAAGAAGGATCTGACCTGCTGACACCCCTTACCCAGCAAACTCAAACYGGATGTTATTGCCATGGAAAGGAGRATGAAAACAAATGGTCTRAMACTCCAGRCTCCCTCCACCCCCTCCTGGCTGTGCCACATGTTTGCTCAGCTGGCTGCAAGGCTCCTCTGGGATCTCTGGCTCTAGGATCTCTGATTTCCAGCAGCAGCACGTTTGATCCTCCCTTTGGCACCTAATCCTCACCACGATTCCTAAGGGAGACCTTGCTAAGGACCCTTCCCTCATTTTCATGCTGACACTTGAATCAGAGGAAAAGGAAGATTTTKGTCAGCATCCAAGCCCCTAAAAATAAAATGCAGAGGATCAGATGGAGATTAAGAGCTTGGCACAGGACAGGCACCCTCAGCTCCCAGGACAATCCAGGATGGCACAGAATAAGTGAGGAATTCTGTAGCATTAGGGGAACAAGCCTGAGGGTCCTCAGAGAGCACTGCAGGGTCCTCTTCAAACATTCCTGGCTTAGCTCAAACCTCTGAGTCAATCCTGTCCCTGAAAAACAGCATATCYCCAGACAGTTCCCACTTTATTTTTTTAACATTACGTCAGATTCCAGGGAAKAAAGTAATTTTGAGAGACACCCCTGATGCCAGCTGCCTCTGTGTCTATCCCAGCGCTGAAACTGGAGAAGGGAAAGGGATTTCATCAAGCTTTGGGACCCACTGCCCCTAAAAACACTGTTCTCTGGGAGACAGCAGGGAGGGCATTGTGCCTTTCCCAGCCAGCTAAGTCAGCACTGAGAGTGGCCCTTTGGCATTSCCAAAACAGGGATTCATCTCCCAGCACAGCAATTGAACCTCTGCATCTTCAACATGGAGAGAACAAGGATGATTCCAGGGCTGGGAGGCTGAGCATGGATGTCAGCATGTCCTGCTTCCGAGCAAGGCAGCCTTTCAGACCATCCTCTCCCTCAGGGGGATGTGGAAAGGGATCCAAGCTGCCACGCTGGGAGCCCCTCAGTTATTTAATATTAAATTCCACACATATTTCCTGCTGTCCCAAGGGCAACTGTGGAGCACACGAGCTGCCAGCAGAGCTGCTCTCGGAGGAGGGCAGCAGAGGTCCCCAGATGCCAGCACATCCCTCCACAAACAGCAGCACACTCAGGGGGTTGTTCCATGCCCCCAGAAACACCCAAACCGCTCCCAACAGCTCCAGMAAATGTCTCAAATGAAGCATTTTTGTCACCCTGTCGTGAGTGGGAGGGTTCAGGCACTGAAACACTCAACATCTGTCCACCTGATACTTCCCTGGACGTGGACAACATTCCCTTCAGAGAGGGTCTCCCTGCTCTCATCCCCCTTCCATAGAGCACTGAATTCTACTTTTTAAATATGATCTCCCCACCCCTGACAGCGATTCCCAGGACTGCACCAGCAATCCCACATCAGACAGATGCCAGGCAGCACCTGCCCCAGAGGAGCAGTGAAAYGAGCCCCTCTCTTTGTCTAGGATCMGCCACAGGAAGGAGAAAACTACAGCTGGGACAAATCGATCCCAACTGTAGATGTGAAATAAGTGTCAAAGACAAAAGCACAAGAGAAAGTTGGTTATTACAGGATCTCCAGCTGCTCTTACCTGCAAGGAGCAGACCTCTRCTCCCTCTCCACAGTGTCCAACAGCTGCCTAAATGATGGAAAACCAGTAAGAAAATGATGGAAGGTCAGTAAGAAAAGATTTTGATTCAGAGCCTCATGGAAGGGGAACGTCCTAAACACTTGACAGCAGGTGATGGAAGAGAAGGATGCTCACAATTGAGAGGGATGGTTTGGGAGCAGAAAAGGGACTGAGGCAGAGGGAAGAAGTTCTCTGGCTTGGTGGGAGTTTGAGGGCAAGGCAAGGACCAATGTTTCCCAAAATGACATTCAAGGAAGAACAGTGACAGCTCCCAAGCACTGCTGGAGAGGCAAGAGGAAAAAAAAGTGAGCACGTGGGAAAAATCTTGGAGAGCCAATGTCAGACTGGAAATCGCCAGCATCCAAAGCACAGCTGGAAGAGGTGGCAAACTCATCCAGGGACAGTGAGGGAGGACAGGGAAACATCCTGTGAGAGACCAGGCATTTCACTGACCTAGGGACGAGAGGGCAGCCCCCGAGCGCGCCGCGTTTCACAGCCTCGGTGGAAAATTCCAGCTCTGYGTAATCTCCTGGGGTTCCTGTAAGACTGTGGCACGGAGAGAGGGACCAAACAGGAAAGAATTAGAGGAAAAATGCCTCTCTTCTGGCAGCCACCATGGCTGTGCCAGGAGTTAGCAGCAGCGGAGCAGCCAGCCCTGCCTCCCCCTCCTCCGGCCGCCTCTATAAACACGCAGGGCTTACTCAGAAGATTAGGAGGGAACGGGGCAAAAGACAACAGAGTCTCTTTTGTAATGAGCAGGGATTACGGCATCAAGTGACCGGCTGCAGCTCCCAAGTGGGTCTCAGGCTCTTAGCACACCGTGTGGGGCAGGCCCAATCCCCCCATGAGCCAAGGGGGCACGAGGTGGCCCGGGCCACAAAGGACCCAGCGGGGACACGTGCGGGACCAAAGCTCGCCAGCCTCCAGCGCGGCTCAGGAGCCCATGACTGTGAGTATCTGGTCCTCCTGATAGCAGCAGGGGATCACTCTCTCCTCCAGAGATCCCTCTTCSTGCCTGTCCGTGAGCTCCTCTTCCTCCATCCCTCTGTCTGCTCGCTGTCCGTCTCTGCGATGCCTGCTCGTGTCTGTTTGTGGAGTGTCATGCACCTGATGTCCCCAAATCTCGCTTGCTGTGGGCTCCCACAATTGAATTCCAGGTCAGTTGACTTGCAGGTGTGCTGGTTAGTCCAGAGGGATGAGCAGGGGGATGCAGGCAGCAGCTCCCTGGGTGGTGGGCTCTTCCTGCCCATCCTGACTCCGGTGTGCCAGTCCCACCCCAAATGGACCTCAGCCCCAAATGGAACGTGCCAGCTGCCCAGTGACATCCCAGAGCAGCCCAGCAGAGGCTGGCAGGTGGGCAGGAAGGTGCCTTAACCATTCAGGACTGGAGGGAAAAGCATTGGGAGAAGCCCCCGTATCCCACACGGGAGCAGAACAGAGTAGAGGTGGGCGACATCCATTATTTACATGGACAAGAGCTGGAGTTTGCCTTCTTTGGTAAAAAAGTGAATCTGTATTTGAATTACGCAACGAAGAATCTCCMTGAGTGCTTCTGAGCCCCAAAGCTCAGAGAAAAGAGGCAGCTTTATGTAAGAGGCCCCAAAAATGTATGGGGTTTTTTTGGGCATGCATTTCTCTTCTGGACAGCTYGTGTGCAGCTTCTGGGGCAGTTAAAACCCACTCTTCCAAGTCCTGTRCCCAGAAATCAGAGGAGAGGATTTAGTGAAATGGGCATT